TAAGAAATCTTCTTTAAAGAAGATATGACTAAGCATATAAAAGATGCCGAATGCTACAAGAAAGTTTAAAGTGTTAAAGTTTTCGAAATTTAGTAACAAATCTATGTACTAATATCTATGTACTAAATCTATGTGATATAAGGCTCGTGAAATTTAAACCAATGAATGAATATAAGGCCTTACGAGCCGTTCTCAAAGTGTTGAGCGAGAACTTATACATGTATATATATATATGTATACCCATGTAACGAATTCACTTGTAAATTTTTACAAGTGAGTTTTTCGAATTGAATTCTCAATTCTTAAAGCCGGAGATTCCAGGTTCGACTCCTGGCCGAGGAGTTTTTTTCGCAATATTTTAATAATTAGTTAGGGGGGTATCCGGGGTCTTTCATATGTGAGATGCAAATCTAGCATCCCGTATGATTTTTAGAATTGAGAATTCAATTCGAAAAACTCACTTGTAAAAATTTACAAGTGAATTCGTTACATGTGTATACATATATATATATACATGTATAAGTTCTCGCTCAACACTTTGAGAACGGCTCGTAAGGCCTTATATTCATTCATTGGTATAGTGCGTAAGTATCTAATAGAATAATGTATTAAAGTTTTAATCATATAAATTGTGATTGAATTTTTCAATAAAAAGATAAAACGAATACACTAAATATGTAATAACACAATGATCAAGAAAATATATATGTAGATTATTTTCTACACATTCACATACTCATATGTGTATATGCTTTTCTAATATACTAAACAGCGTATATTTTCACTATTAGTAAAACATTCTCCAGAACATTATCAAAATAGTATTCGACAGATATTTATAACTTTACTAATTGCGACATATAGTGTTTTAGTTTACATGATATAATATTACTAATTTATATAATGTAGTTTACATTTTTTATAACTACGCTGCAATCGTATATATCTTAGACCATATATACTTATAGACACGGCCTGTAGATATAAATCCACGAGTCGAGGTGAAGCAAAGATAATATCATCTACGTGACGTCACATGTGGGCATTTCAGCAATGGCTAAACGCGGCCTCGTAGATGATATTATCTTATCTTCAAGGCAGTTATCTGAAGCCGTTTATAAACGCGCCTTTGCTTTGCCCACATGTGACGTCATGTAGATGATATTATCTTTGCTTCAAGATAGTTGTCTGAAGCCGTGTCTATAAGTATATATGGTCTAAGGTATACAGGGTGTCTGACAACGAACTATAAAGCCGACGTGTGTAGGTAGATCGGGTCATTCTGAACAGAAAAGTTATATACGATTTTGCAAAATTCGCAATATTTATTGAGATATGACTTAATAAATGTGAATTAATGAAGGCGCGGGGAGCGATGATCGGACTCTATAGGCGTGCACGATTATCAGATGAAAAGAAAAATGGCTTCTCTCATGTAATGTCTTAGTAACGAGAGGCGGAGTATACAAACAAGCGCGGAACGACTCAGTTTCTTGCGATCGGGCGCTATTCGGCGGTACGCCTAGTAGCTACTAGTGATTGCTACTAGTTAGTTAGTACGGCGCCCGTTGGCGCTACGAGCCGCCCCGCTTGCCCTCCGATCCCCGCGCCTATTCTTCGAATTAATGACGCCGTCTGTACATCGTTACATCTTTATATTACACACAAAATGTACTTTTAACTTTAAATATGATTAATATATTTGAAGAATTGATAACACATTCATATGATCAAAACTTTTTAACATGTCATAGAATAAATTTAATTAAAAGTGTTATAATAAAATATGTACAGACAAGATTTTTTTCTATTGTAAAACAGAATAATAAGAATATTAATGTAAGCAAAAGACATTTTTATAATAACTTAATATTATTTGCTAGACAGTAAATTATGTTTATAAGTTATTTTTTTATTTACTTATTTATTTACCTATATTTATTAAATGTTATAAATGTCTATAATATAATATCTATAATTAATATTTATTAAATTTTGTTTTGTTTGTTAGTTTTTTAAGTAAATATATTTATTATAGCGATTTCGGCTGGTCTGCACAGGTGCCACCTGTGTAGAGTTGGTGCAATTGTGTGCAACACCGCATTGGTGTGTGTACTGATTACACTAACTGGCTCCTACTAATTTGTGAGAGCCACTTTGTGTACACCCAACATGCACCTATGCGATGTACTGAACTCAGACGAATACGCGGAACCAGCAAAGAACTGCTGCCATTCGACCAGCCGAACACACAATTTGCACCGACACCCGAAATGTGCAGTCGGTGCAAACCAGCCGAAATCGCTATTAGATTTCTTAAAATATCATTCTGGGCATTATTCCATCGAAGTATTGTAAAGTTCTAACAGATGGCAGTACTAGTGGCTCATATAAACATGGCTGCATAGGCTTCATCTTTTTTCGACAACGCTCCCTCCTTTATCTCCATGGATATGTCAGCCGTGGCTAGTCGCGTATCTTCGCAATGAGAGGCACGAGGCCCGAGAAAGAGAGACGCACGAAGTCCAAATATGGGCATAGATAGTCGATCGTCATTATGCGCAGGCGCGTCTACTAAGCAAGTGCGAGCGAGACAAAGCATTGGAAAGAACGCGAGAAAGAGAAATGCCCAAACGTGCTTGAATGTTCACCACATGCGCACAAAGCAGCTGAGAGAGAGGCTACTATATTGTCTGCACCGTAACATTTGGACTTCAGGTCGGCACCGTACTAGCAATATAGAAGCAGAGAGAAACCTGAGAGCGGCCATGCCATTGTAGTTTCTTACGACGGTTTCAACCGCTTGTTTTAGCCGTATTTCCACAAAAGTGGAACTCAAAGGCCGTTCTCCATGAAACTCAAGTCGCAGGTCTCGTGGAACTGATCAATCACGTTGGTCGATTGGCTGATTTGACTCTGCAATTGGTCAATTCCACGAGATCT